ACACTGTCCTTCTATCTGTAACTGAGTACTGAGTTACTGCTGTATTATTTTTCTTCCATGGTGGGCACTATACTCTTATCAGCAGTAGCAGTATTCCGGGGCTTCTTGTCTTCCGAGTACAGAACACACAAAAAGAAAATGATCATTTAGGAACACAGATGGCATGATAGTGAAACAAAGATAACCAAGGACATGAAAAGATGTACTTATGTGAAAAACGCTTCAGGGACTTTGGGAGGGGGCTCAGTGCATAAAGAACTTGCCACATGAACTTGAGGACTGGAGTTCTGATCTCCAAAACCTATGTAAAGCTTGGATAGGTGTAGTGCCAGCATGTAGTTATAGTCTTGGAAGGCAGAGATAGGAGCAAGCTAGCTAGACTAATGAAAATGGTTGTCTCTGAGTTCAGCTCACAAACCTTGCATCATTGTGTAAAGTGATCTAGGAAAACTCCTGTTGTCAGCTTCAAGCCTCCACATAGATACACACAAATGGATGGGCACCAAGACACACACATGTGAATATCCATGTACATATGCACACACACCACACAGGCACATGCAAAAATAACACCTTATATGCATGTATAAAATTCCCAATAAACTTTTTGTAGACGTTAAAAAAAAAACACTTCAAGAGCTGGAGAGACGGCTCAGCAGTTAAAAACACTGGCTACATTTACAGAGGACCTAGGAATAGTTCCCAGCACCCACAAGGTGGCTAACAACCATTTGCAACTCCAGTTCCAGGGAATCAGATGCCCTGTTCTGACCTCCGTGGGCATTGCACTGCATGGGAGCACCTACATGCATTCAGGCAATACACTCATACACATAAAGTAAAAATAATAAATAAAAAATTTAAAAAACACAAACACACTTTAGAGCACCTCAACTTAAAATTGTTGATGAAAATTCTAGGTACTCATAACTCATGGGCTACAGATCTATGCAACAGACAGTGTCCTACAGCATGGCCTTCAGGATGTGGCTTGACATGCCTGTAGTCCAGAGAGCCTAAAATGGCCTTTTAATATTAAAGTTTTACATTACATTGTCTTTTCCAATGTTACATTGTTAGAATGATGTGAGCAATAATATTTATGAAATCAACACTGGAACTAACTTATGCTACTTTTATTTGCCTGAGTTTATTTGGATCTAAATACCCAAGAGTTCAAGTTATATTTGTTTTGAAGAATGTAGTTGCCTTGGTGTCCTGCAGGGAAAAACTATCTTATGGTAATACATTTATGAAAATAAATATGCTGGCAAGACAGTGTGTCTCTCCAAGGTTCCTGCTAAACAATGACCTGACTATGCACCGTAGTGCTTCTAATACTTAGGTCTTGCCAGATAGCACCCTAAAGTACTGTCACTTTAGACTGAAGCAGAAGAAAAGCTTGAAGCCAGCCTGGGCTACATAGCAAGAGTCTATTCTAAAAAACAAATAAGAAAAATAAGACTATGCTCAATCATTAACATTTGGTGACTCTATTTTCTTTAAGGAAATCCGAGAGGAGAGCCAACTGTGCCTTTGTCAATCCAGTTTATGGTAATTGGAGCAACAGAGAGAAAACAGAGGTAACTGAAAAGCTGAACTGTTGTTTCAGAGGCAGAGACACACACAAACACACACACGCACACACACACACACACGCACGCACACACGCATACAAACACACACACATGCACACACATGAACACACACGCACACACACGAACATGCACGCACACACACATGCACACATGCAAACACACGCACACACACGAACATGCACACACACATGCACACACACACAAACACACACGCACACACACATGCACACACACATGAACACACACACACACACACACACACACCCCAACCCCCAACCAGTCAATTGTGTTTGGAATTGTTTCTATGTCATGGCTAAGAGAAATGTTCTAGCAGAGTTTTCAATTGTGGGTTAAGAGTTTCAACCTCTATAAATGAGTAAGATTTTCCATTTCAAGACAGTTTCAATCTATTATGAAGTAAGTTCACTGTTAAATGGCTCTGTGGTCACCATTCATCCTCCAAGAAAAGCTGGTAAATCTGGAAAATGTCAATTTAACACATAGAGTGTATTAATCAGCTATCCACAGGAACTACTTATTATATGTTCTCCATAGTTTGTTCTCAAAAGACTAATGGGAGGTTGACATTATATTTTCTTCTGTTTTCTTTTCTTCTTGGTGTGGGTGGTGAGGGGCATTACTTGATAATTTAGAAAAGAAAAGCAGAAATTAAAAAGCCTTGTGTGTTTCTTGGCTGCTTTGAGGTTAAGCCTTTTCATAGAAATAACAAGGAGAAAATGTCAAGGAAAATCTTTCTTTTCCTCCTTCTGTGAAATGGTTTATGTTTTCAGTACTGTTAAGGTATAATTGACAGGTGAAAGACGTGCATTTTTAAGGTAGCCGATGTGATTTTTGGTGTCCTTGGACATTGTGAAGTGATGGGTACCAGTCAGCTAGTTGACATACCCATCAACTCAGAAGCTTACCATTCAAGTGTGAAGAGTTATTTCAGATATATAATATGGCACTGTGGATTGTACCCAGGCTGTTATATGATAGTTCTCTAGGCCTTCTTCATCCTGAGTATCTGATTCCTTTTATATATATTTATTATTTATTATTTTTATTTTATTTGTATGAGTGTATTGACTGTATGTATGTGAGTGCACCCATATCATCCAATGCCACAGAGGTCAGAAGAGGGCATCGGATTCCCCTGGAATTCCTCCAGTTAAGGATGGTCCGTAGCTGCCATGTGGGTGCTGGGACTCGAACTGGGTCCTCTGCAAGAACAGTCAGTTCTCTTAACCGCTGAGCCATCTCTCTAGCCCCTAAGTATCTGATTCTTTATCCCAACATTGCATCCCTTTCTTAAATAGGAATATATGAGCCTTAATTGGATATAAAATAAGTTTGCTAATTACACATTACTTTTCTACTATGAAAATTTCCTTATAGCTGACTTTATGTTTCATTCATTTATACAAATAAATCTATAGAAAGTTTTTAGTTTTCCTTATGACCTTGAGTGAAATAAGCCATCACTAGTTTCTTTTTTTTCTTGTTCTAGACATTGAAAATGAACAGCAGATTCAGATCAGATATTTTCTAATATCTTGAGAGCTTTGGGTAATATGGTTGAAGACTAACAACCATTGACTACTACTTTACTTTCATCAGAAAATATGTGATGTACATTTTTAAGTATGATTCAGGTAGAAATGGGAAGAAGTGGGAGATTTCCCTGAGGGCTGGTGAGATGGCTAAGATGGTAAAGGCCCTTTCAATAGTGCAAGATGACCTGAGGTCAACCCCTAGCCTCACATGTTGAGAGACCTGCACCTATTCCTGCAAGTTGTCCTCTGACCTCCATACTGCATGTGTGCTGTGGTGTGAGCATGCAGGTACACACACACACACACACACACACACACACACACACACGCAAAATTAAATCAATGCAAAAACTAAAATAAACTTGCCTAAGAATCAAGGGAATTAATATGAATGATTCAATGATAGAACCAAGCAGAGTAAAAGGAAAATGCATCCCTCCCCGATGGGCAGTGAATGCCTATAGACATGCATAAATCGAATGAGGAAGGCATGGCATAAACCCACTTATATTTTCACAAAAGGCAAGAAAATTTTGTTGCAATTGATTAACTTAGGGGAAACTCGGGATTTTGTTTTATTTCCTGATAAAAGAAAAATTATTCCTTTTTCACCTTCTGTTTTTTACATTTCTCTTTCTGTTTATTAAGAATGACTAGAGAAATGCCAGGCATGGTGGCACACACCTTTAGTGCCACCACTCGGAAGGCAGGCAGAGCGAAGCCAGCCTGGTCTCCATAGTGAGTTCAAGGCCAGCTGGGGTTGCAGGGAGACCCTGTCTCAAAAAGACCAAAAAAAAGAAAAAAAAAAAAAAAAAAAAAAAAAAAAAAGAAAAAAAAAATAGAAATAGAAATTCTGTCACATCTCCTTGTTTTTATTATTTCGGAAAGAAATGTCTTAAGTCTAAGTTCCTTGGCATAACAGAAAATTACATTCATCTCAAATATTATTCAAAGAGTTCTTGCAGAAATGTCATTCCTGTAGATATGTAGGATAGTTTTAAAGAACTCCCATGTAGCCATCAATGACCAAAAACTGCTCAACCGGTAGCCATCTTTTATTACTTCTCTCTTGATAGCTCCTTCAACCCACTGATGATGCCTTAAGCAAAAACAGATATGATTAATTTCAATTATAGAACTTCAGTGGTATCAAGTTCAGTTTGTATTAAGAAATAAGAAATTTATAGAACATAACTGTGATATCATACTTGATGATTTAGCAATATTTTCTTAATACCATCAAAATATTAATTGTTCAACCTATTCCAATTGTCTCAGAAGTATTTAGGGTTTTTTTTTAATTAAAAAGTGTATTTACTTAGAAACATTCAGAATGTCAACAAAACAGCTCCGATTTTTTGCAATTACAGAGTGGTATTTAATTAACAGAACAATAACTGTCTTTGTATAAACTGTATCAGAGACAACTGAAGATCAAAATAACTACCGTCCCCATATATAACTAATGTGTGCTGTGCACCAAGAACCTGCTTTAAATTTCCATGCCAAATTTACAGCCCCCATACTGTACCAGGCAAGGTTAGTAGCTATTGAAAATACCACCAGCACAGGGCTATCCAAAGACATATTGGTAGTGTGTTAACTATACAAAAGAAGTCTGTACACTCTAAAAACAAATCTTACACAGCCTTACATTTTAATTTTTTTCTTTAAAAGAAATGAGTTGTGTACAGGGAAGTTAAAAGCTTTATAGACAAGAAAAAAAACTGCGCTAGAACAAACATTCATCATCATCATCATCTTCGTCGTCTTCATCTTCCTCCTCTTCCTCCTCTCCTTCTTTCTCTTGCTCTTTTCAGCCTTGACAACCCCCTTTTTACAGCATCAGGTTTTCCTTTAGCTCTGTAGCCCCCAGTATCTTTTCGTGTTTCTCCCTCAGCCTGGGGCCTTCTCGTCCGGCTGCTTGTCCTCTGCAGCAGTGCTGCTCCACATCTCTCCCAGTTTCTTCACAACATCAGCAGTAGATAAGCCCGGATGCTTTCCTTTGATATTGGGGTGATACTCAGACCAGAACAAAAAGAGAGCCGAAGGAGGCCCCTTGGGTGCATTGGGCTCTTTGAACTTCTTTTCTGTTTCCCCTTTAGGAGGGACAGAGGTTTTTATTTCTCTCTCATTAACGTGCTTTGTCAGTTTCTGCCATGTCTTCAAACTTTCCTTTTTCTTTAGCAGACATGCTCTTCCACCTCTCTGAGCACTTCCTAGAAAACTCTGAGAAGCTGACCGAAGCATCAGGGTGCTTCTTGTTGTGTTCCTCCAGGAAAGTGGGATTTTGCTTTTGCTGTTATTGAATTTTAAGATCAGAATCTATATAAAGACTATGAATACAAATTGATATATATTTAAGTATCCTTTAATCTCTAGGCTCTATATTCTCTTGATTTTCTTCTTGTGAGATATTTATTGAAGAAACTAGTTCATGTCCCATATTTTAGACTTTCTAATATACTCTGTAACTGTAAGTATACTGACATATAGTTGTTGGTTGTTATATTTTCATTTTGCTTAACCTAACTATATTCAGTAGAACAGACTGGGTGAAACCAGCAGAGGGGAGATGGAGGTCAAAAATACTGGCCGCGAGTTCCTCCATCCTTCCACAGGTGAGGATGCGCGATGCACCCATGTCCATGGTATTGAGGAAACATACTGGACCAGGCCTTGTGTCTGAGGTTCGGGTAGTGTGAGCTGGAGATGCTGGAGCAAGGCTCAGGAATGCTTCCCTTATTGCTCCCTGGGAAATCCATTAGGAGCACTTTCCTTATTGATGATCCTTTTGGCAGTTTCCCATTTTATTCTCAAAACCCTTCTAAATGTATGTTTCCTCTTTAGGGTTCCAGCTACTCCTTTTCAAATCCATTTTATGGCACAACACCAGGAAACCCGGAAACAGTGTCTCCTCATCTCAAACCCTAGCATCAAAATCACACTTGATCAAATAAGTGTTTATAGAAAATTCTGTTCTTCAAACTGATTCTACATGAAGTGAAAAAAAGAGAAAAGATTCAAATGTCATGTGATTATAACATGCTAAATGTTTTCTTACTGAATATTTGAATGTTTCTATGGAATCACAGTCATTGCTTATCATCTTCACATATCTGAGTAGGTCAATAAAATGTTAATTTTGTGCTTTATTTTTACTGGCTATTTTTTCGTGGTTTTTTTTACTGCATGAGTGTTTCACCTGCATGTATATAAGTGTACCATGTGAAAACAGTGCCTGCAAAGACAAGAACAGGGTGTTTGATTCCTGGAATTGAAGCCCCAGTCCATTGTTTACCAACATGTGGGTGCCTGGAACCAAACCCAGGTCCTCTACAGGAGCAGCCAATGCTCTTAACTGCTGAGCTGTCTCTTCAACCACTTAGTTAGCTTTTTCTTAAAATTGCCAATCAAACTGTTTCACATCCTGAATATAAAAAAGTATTGAAAATCAACAACAGATCCCAATCTTATCTGAAAGAATGTTGGCAACTGACCGCTGCTAGATGAAGAAGAGCTGATCTAGAAACAAGGGACTATCGATAGGCTGACTAGACTCAGTGGATGGACAAGCAGTGGGGAACAGCTGGGGACACTGACAACCCAGTGGGCCTTAACAAGGATGACAGAGTATATGGGCTCCAGTGGGGTGGGGTGTTGGGAGGGTGCCAGTGGGGATGGGGGTATAAAGATGATTAAGATTATTTGAGATATTCTGTATGAAATACACAAAAAAATTCAAAAAATATATTTTAAAAAATGTTGAAACACTATTTCTTTACAATACAGCTTAGAAACAAAAGTGACCTTACCTTGCAAGATAATAGGAATGGTCAGATCATATTAACCCTGATCAATATAACCAAAGTTATTCTTGCATTTTGAAATATATGTGGTAATTGATCTCAAACTTATCCTTTTCCGATAATCATAGCAATTTTATGTAGACATAAAAATATTAAAATATGAATTAAGGAGCATGGGACTATATAAATTGAAATGGTTTAAATAATATACCATCTATTACCACACAAGTTAGGAAATTAGATGAGTGCCTATTGTACCTATATTATCTCAACAATGATTCTGTCTGCTATAGTTTTCATTTCTTTCTTTTGGGGCTAATTCCACAACAGAGGAGATGATGTCTTCATCAAGTGTCCACATAAAGTTAAAGACAGGAAGGGCAACTTTTATCCTGTGTGTCATGTTTTAACACTCAGAAAATCTTCCCAGAATGCACTTCCAGAAACTAGTATCCAACATGCATGTCCACCAAACATTTTCCAGTGTTCAATTCCCAGCAATAACTTTTTATTGCTCAGAACAGACAGGGCGCCCATGTTAAACCAGTCACTCCATGATTGAGTGAAACCTTTCACTATACCGTCTAAGTCTGAAAATAAACCTTTGTAGCCATCTTAAAATAGATGGAGGTAGACACTTGAACAAAATTGGATTTAGGAAGTATGATTGTCAACTTGCTAGAATCTAGAATCACCTAGGAGATGGGCCTCTGCACATGTCTTTGGGGAATTATCTCAATTTAATTGAGATGGGAAGCCTCTCCCAGTGTGGGTAAAGCCATTCCTTGCTGAAAATTCTGGGATGTCTAAAGAGAAGAAAAGGGGTCAGCATGCTTTTATTGCTCTCTGCTTCTTGACTGTGGACGTGACGATGACCAGCTGTCTCAAGATCCTGCTGTTGTGACTTTCCCATGATGATGGACTTTGACCTGGGACTGGGGCTGTGGGAAACCCATCCTTTCTTAAGCTGCTTTTAACAGAGTATTTTATTACACCAAAGGGTGAAAAAAATGATAGAAAAATTGTTATCAAAGTGAGGATCTCTAAATCTGGTATTGTTTTTCAGACACTGGAATTACTTTGTATCTAGAATGTGAGGTTGATGCTTCAGGATAGAAAAGAAGTCCTAGAATGCTGGAAACAGAGTTTAATTGTCCATTTCTGGTGAGACTTTGGAAGACAAGAACCTTGAGAGAAAAGAAATATGGACAGTAGAGGTCTGGCACATGAGGTTTCAGAAGAAAACAAGCTTAGGAACTCTGATTTGTTGGCCAAGAAACTGGTGTTTTTGTGGGGTTTTTTTTGTTTTTTGTTTTTTTCTGCGCAGGAACTTAATTCGGGTTGAATTTGGTGGATAAGAAAATAATCTGGCTGGTGCTAACAGAGAAGCTCTAATGGTTAAAGAGATCAGCATCACTGAAGAGAAACTTTCAGTGAGACAGGAGGAAATGTACCCTGAGGGGGAAAAGCAGTAAGTGTTGTCTGCTGAGCCATCTTTCAGGCCCTTCAGTTGATTGTTGAACCCCACTATATAGTTTAACCCAAATGTTAATATATATATTTCTCAATTTCCCTTTCATTGTAGCAGTAAAATTTCTGATACTAGAAAAATTAGCACAGAACCAATCAGAGGAGTTGTTTTCTAAGACTGTTCCCAGTGTTGTTGGACATTTCCATTTAGGGGGAGTAGAGTTGCATTTATGGCCTTGGCAAAGGACTCAAGGCTTTACATGAAAGATGCATTAAATATACAGATTTTACAAAAGCAACATCAAGGATGATTATTTCACCTAACTTGGCCTGTTTTGTACATGACACATAGAGTACTTTAATTTGACTGATGACAGAAAATCAAGACAGACTAGAAATGGAGGTACTTTTCAGAGTATTTTTTTTTCAGATGGGTTAAGTTACATGCACCTTAAAATATTTTAACATCTTTAAGACATTCTAAACATAGATGGGAACTCCATGAAATCAGAAGCATGAATCATATTTCTATCTCTGCAACAACTAACCCTAGTAAGCTCCCATGTCCAGTTTTCCTAACAATGTGAGATTGATAAATAGTTTATTTTTCTGTGCATCTTTCCTCTGAGCATTTGATGTAAGTCCAAGCTAGCATCAGAATGATCATAAAATTGGGTAAAGGAAGGAGGGATGAAAACAGATATGGAGGACATAATTTTACAACCTGGCTTCAAACAACTGAATATCTGAAACTTAACCCTGACTTAGAATGGATTACATGCTTCGGGTTTTTTGTTTGTTTGGCTGGTTTTTTGTTTCTTTGTTTTAGTCTGGAGACTGGATCTCAAGGGCTAATGCTAATAAATTCTTGGAGCTTTCAGGACACCAATGTTAAAAATAATGTCTTTTTATTAATCTCTTCCATGTAATTAACCTATTTCTAAAAATACATGTTAAGCATAAAATAATAAAATAGCAGTTGCAAATGCTAAAATGATGTGAATATGGACCAAATGCTGTTCTAGTTATATATATTTTAATTCATAAATGTAAATCTTGGGGTGGAGAGATGGCTCAGCAATTAAGAGCATTGGTTGTTCTCTCAGAGGACCCGGGTGTGATTCCCTGGACCTACATGGTGGCTAACAACCATCTGTAACTCCATGTTCAGGGGATCTGACACCCTCTTCTGGTCTCTGTGGGCATTGCACAAAGTGGGTGTACTTACACTCATGCAGGCAATACACATAGAAATAAAATAATAAAAAAGTATAAATCTTGTTCTATGATCTATGCTATGGTGTCACGGTTTACATCCAGCCATTTAATGTGAAGATTGAGTTAATTAAAATTAATTAAAATTTAAAATACAGTTCCTCAGTTTCACTAACCATATTTCAGGTGCTCAGAAGTCATATGTAGCGAGAGACATCTGTAATGGAGACCACAGAGACCATTTCTATCACCCCAGTGAGTTTTCTTAGATGTCACTGACTTAGAGCAATGTTGAAATCATATACTAGTAAATAGTACAGTAATAATATTTGTAAATCTAAAACATACTAAAGGATGCCCCATATTTACAGTTTAACTAGAAGCAGCCAATTTCCATAGAATAATAATGGATTATAAATAAGACAAAGCATATTTATCTCAGAGGAAACCAGCAAGTACATGTGACAAAGTGCCTTTTAAGGACACTTCTTTCCCAAATAAATACCACGTGGCACTCTAGCAGGGCCACATCATCTTTGTTCATTTCATTTTCTTATGTTTAGATGACACCTCAAAAGCACTGTAATAATTTATTTTTCTCTTTTCACCTTCTTGACCTTCAATCATTTTTCATGTTTATCACAGCAAGAACTAAAGATTTAAGCTCTTCTCTAAGTAACAACCACTTTATGCTTCCCACATAAAAGCCTACATTTAGATAAAAAACACAGCAAAACTACTGTATTCAGGTAATGTCTTTTTGCAATAAGTAGTATAAAACTTCATTCTTATAAATCAAAACCAGAGAAAATTCATATTGAGATATAAGAGAATAGAGAGATTTCTCTTTCCCAGAAGGCTTCTTAAAAAATAAATGAAAGTTTAAGCAAGCACTTTACTGGCAAACCAGTCCTGTGTCTCTGATTCTTAACATTATTCTGCTTTTTTTCTGTGCCAACTTGCAAAATGTTTTGCATCTCATTGTTAATATAATTAGAAAGACACTGCAGGAGTGGATGTCTAAGACAAGTAAAATTAAAGACCTGATTTCATGAACAATTTTGTACAAACAGAACCTCAACCATTTCTATAGCTCTCACTTGCTGAAATTTCAGTGATACGAGACTTGAGGTTTCTGTTACTTCTTGGATTAAAGAACTATATAACTATGAATCAATTAAAGTATGCATAAAATAAACATGTATAATACTAGAGTATCCACTTAAATATTCACACTGATACATGTCGTTAAACAGTCTGACATTGAAGTATTCTGAAAAGCACTTTTTCTTTGCTAGAATGTGGAAGCAATCAGAATGAGCTTTTATTTTTCCAATTTTTAAAATACTGGATTATTTAGGCAAGGTTCTTGCAATTTCACAGACAACTTCCTGAGAGCTTCCTAATATTTGGAGAAGTTTGTTACTAAGAAATCATCACAGGAAATGGGGATAATTATATCAACATAACAAAACCTTGAGTCAATAAAAGAAATGCCAGCTGAACAGAGCAGAACTAGCAAATCCAACATCTCTGTGCAGTCTTGTTACATTCTGAATATTGAGACAGGGTCTCACACTGTAACCTAGGCTGGCCTGGAATTCATGGC